GGATACTGAAATACCAAGTCTTGACATCACATCTATACACTCTGTAGTAGCACCACATGAAAATAAATAAAGACCAATTTCTAATTGAAGAGAATTATTAAATTTATTCCTTAGGCCAGTCAACAAATAGCAAAACCCAACAAGTGATTTTTTGGCATTGTCTATAGTATGTGTTGATCTATTAGAAGGTAAAAAGATATCAACTAATTCATCAAAAAAACCTTTTAATTTCATATCATGTTTCTCAATCATATCTTTAAATTTTTCAGGGTCTAACTCTATGTCTAAATTCAGCTGTCTTTGCCTTTGATACAATACTTGTGATAATAATTTAATTTTTTCATTAAATTCATTTATTTTATTTTTTTTGTAATCATTTAATTGTTTTTGGATTTCTTTTATTTTATTTATTAGGAGATCAAAATTTTCATTTGACAAAGATACCTTATCTTTATGATTATTAATATTTATATCTGACCAATAATCAAAATTTTCTTCAACATTATCAGATGAATTTTTCAGAATATGAGATAATTTGGATACTGTAAAATCATCATTATCAACAATGTAAATTTCCCCAAAGTCTCCTGACTGTCTTTTTTTATCATTACCTCTATTTGGCACTACAATTGATAAATAATGTGGATGACAAAGTTGATCACCAATCTTAAGGTAATTATAATCTTCATATGTTTTATGTTTTATAGCTTTGCTTTTAGAATCTTCAGTAAAAGTTCTAAATTTATTTGTATTAGGATCATTATTTTTACAGTTTTCAACTTTACATGGACCATAGCTTTGTCTCATTTTAAAACAATTTATTTTTTTTATTTTATTTAATATGTTAAATTTAAGTTTTTATGAAAATCTAATTGAATTTTTCAGTGGTTTTTATCTCATTTTGAAATATGCATAATTGTTTTGTTTAACAAATATAAATGTGAATTATATTATATACGGTTTATTAAAAATTTTTTTTGGAAATGATATTCAAGCCAATAAGATTCGATTTTTGTGTGATATTTTGAAGGGAGATCATCACAAAAATTAGCCAATGAAATCAAATGTCCACTATGCTCTATTCATTAGTTCAGTCCAGTACTTTTCCAAATTTGGAAATACCAAATACTGCAATGATCAACGTAAATTTGCACTATGTAAAAATTTGATTGGCTGAAATTCCGCCTTTTTCTCCTTTTCTTTTCTCAAAAGGTAATTTCAACGATTTCAGCCACACCTTTCCTAATTAAAAAATGATTTCCAAAACATATACTTCTATTAAAAAAAATTTATTTGGGGTTACATATAACAGGTAAGGAAATAATATGTGTAAAATGTAAAAATACCCATTTTTTTGTTATGAAAATTTTCTTGCAGATCACGTTTTTTGATAGTAAAACTTTGCGATACAGTTATATAAACCTATATCTCCTTCACTAAAATTATTAGCTAGTATGCAAAGTCTACTAATGGAACTTGTTAAGCAGATCAAATCACATGATTTATGTCTAAGAACCATAGGTCTAGTATCAATAATTAAAATTTTCCATATAGTGAACTTTTCAAAAAAAAATTTTTTAAAAAAAATACAAATGTTTCTTTATTTATAAAAAACCTTAAATATAATTCCAGTATGTACGATTTTTTTAAAATATTTTTTTCAGAATATATGTTAATTGAAAATGTAAAAATATTCAGGGTTTGTTAGTAGTATTTTAATTTAAAGAGGGATTGAATTTACTCGGAAGATCTACACAAATTTGGACCAAAAATCCCTGTACGTTTAAAGGATAAAAAACTAAGGTATTTCTGACTTACTCACAATCAGTACACCACATTTCCAAAACAGGATTATGATGTGTTCATATATCAATATATATTTTAAAAAATGACAACTTAAAGCGGTGAGTGGTGTAGAAGATTACTTGCTTTAAAAATCACAGTATATGATCATGCAATTTCATGTTGATTCAAATCGTGAGAGATGAAGAAAAGAATAATTCTTCAACATTTTTGAAATGGCTTACTTATATACTGTTAAAGTTTTAATTGATGATCTGTCTATGAATCAGTGAACTCTAAATAAGGGTTGGCAGAAGAAAGATATCACAAATTTCACTGATTGATGTCTTTGTATTAAAAAATGGTACTATACTTTAGTACTATAAAATAATATATTTTTATTTTGAGTTATGAAACAAATGTCAAGGAACATATTTATACATTTTTCAAGAATATCGAAAAAAAGGAATTATCTTAGAATAAAAGTTCTATCATTTGATATAATTGAATACTAAAAATTAATTATGAATAGTTGGAATAATTTGAATAATATAGAAACTCAATTAAAAATAATTATACACTCATTTTGTTGTTATTATAAAACTATTTTAAAACCTCGAAACATATCAAAACTCCAAAACCTTTAAAAAAGTACTATAAGTGCTTTATGCGAGAAAAGGTGTAATTAGATTTTTTTCAAAAACAAACATAAATATTAAATTTTATCACGTGATGGGATGTTGAAGATCGTCAATTAAGTTATTATACGTAGATTATACAACCAAATGTTCGAAGTGCGTTCGTGAGTCAAGTGAAACATATATTTAATCAAAAATCTCATTTGGTGTTAATAATTAATTGGCAGACTTACCTTGAAATTGTTCATTTTTTCCAATTTTAGATAGATTGTTCACGATGAATGAAAGCTAGATTTATTTAAAAAAATAATATAAAATAATATAAAATACAAGTAATAAAAATAAAGCACAAAAATAACAGAAAGATGTTATATTGTTGTTGTAGCGTGTTATATTGTTGTTGTAGCATGTGATGTTGATGCCATTGCCCACATTTACAAAATGTATACGTACCACATTCTGTTTGTTAATTTGTTTCCTCCGATAATAACTTCTTGTATTCTTCCTTGGATTTTTTATAAATTCCTAATTTAATTAATTTTATTTAATAATTAATTTTATTTAATAATTATTTTTATATATCAATTTATTAACTAAAATTCTTTTTTAAACTTTACCTTTCATTTTTGATTTATCATTATAGACATTTTCTATTTTTTCATTGTAATAAATATATATATTTTCTAAACAGATACAAATCGAATCACCAATTAAAATTATTTGTCTTTCCAAACATTTTGTACATTCGTCGTCCAATGGTTTGTTTTTATAATCTTCGTAATCATATACGCTGAGAATAATCCTAGTAGTAGTTAATAAAATTATTTAATTAATAATTGAGCAAAATAAAAAAAATCAACCTTAATTCCATAAATTCATCATTTATATAAATCGGTAGTTTATCATTAATTAATGTTTGACTAAAATCATTGTCAATAATTCGATGAAATTTATTAAAGAAATCCTGTTGTTTTTGGTTATTATATGAAGATGGTGACGAATTTGTTGAGATTAAATTAAGATACTCTATAAAGTTATTTAGAGTAAACTCATCATCATTAATAATCGTTACACATTGTTTATCAACCGAAGCATTCAAAGTATTTTCTAATCTTTTTTCAAACCTCAACTTACTAGTATAACATCAATGTTTAATTAATATAGAAGCCATATACATACATATATATATACATACATACATACATACATACATATATATATATATATATATATTTAATAAATAAATTTTTACATACAATTTACTCAAGAAAATACCCTTCAATTTATCACCATCGCTATCATTATTAAGGCGCCTTAATATTTTAGCAAACATATATAACAAGTAATTCCCTGTAGCATAGAAATATTCCAACTTCCCTTTCTTATCAGCCGAATCATGTACAGATTTTAAAAATACCGCCAACTCAGTTATTAACATAAAATATTCAGAAAAAACCTTTTCACATTTTCTTTTTCTATCACCATCACGGTCGTTAAAAGAAGAGTTAGAAAAAATATTCAAATTTACAAATTTGCTCCAATTATTTTCCAAAAAATCATTTATTTCTAAAAGTCTATTATCAAGATCCATTAATAATTTATTATCATTATTATTAGATTCTATACTACTATTTACATTGTCATTAACTCTGTTGGGCAATTTCTCAAATGGAAAATCTAAATTATAAAGATATTTATTGCCAATCAATTTACTATCTAGTTCTACTCTTCTTTTAATCATATAATAAATAACATTTGATCCTATTAAATTAGATTCAAATTGTGTAAGCTTTGAAATTAGATCTTCATCAGCATCAGCTACAGATGACGACGACGACGATATTTGAGGTGCGTCATTTAATATTGTTGTGACTTCACGATTTGCTGGATTTGTTGTTTCCATTTTTTAGTTTAGAATAGTATTTAAAATAATGCAATAATATTTAATTATTATTATTATTATTATTATTATTATTATTATTATTATTATTATATTATTATTATTATTATTATTATTATTATTATTATTATTATTATTATATGTATATATACATAAATAATACAAAAAAACAATAATTATATCAATCAATATATTAATAATTAATTATATTATAACCATAATACCAATCATTCATTGCATCAATAATTATATTATAGTCGTATAAAAATTTTACTTACGTATTGACATTGTTTTTAAGTTTTTTGGGAAACAAAAAAAAATAAGATTTAGAAAATGTAATTTTTAGAGTGCACAAAAACTCTTAAATAGTTAATATGAATAGCATGCCATTACGTTTTGTTGTTTCTTCCTGCAATTTCTTCTAATATTGGTTAATACTAATTAGCCTATTAGATATTTAGTAATCGATCATTTGTAACCATCACCATACCAATCTATTCTCAATATGTGATTATAAATAAATATTAATAAATAATTAAAAATAAATAAAGCAAACATATGAAATACGCACAGTTATGAATCACACGCCCTTTAATATCCAACGTAATTCTTTTATCGATTTGTTTATTGAATTCCTTTATTGGTATTGCTTCTCCTGCTATCAAATATAAATACCAATAAATACATATTGATAGTTTGATGACTAGTGTATTAGTGATTCCATATAAATAGATAAATGGAACAAAGTGAAGTTAGTAAGGA